TACAGTCTCTCCATTTATAAAACCCCTTTCAAGCCGGCAGTTTTTGGTCCAAGCAGTCAGGATGTTTAGGAAGCCGTTGAGCCAAGGCATTGACTTCACACAGCCCTCCTCCTCTATCCCCGCCCCAACTTCCAGCCCCTACCTAGGTCAGGTTCAATTGCTTCAAAGACAAAGGAAAAAGTAAAGGCCCAGACAAGGACTGGTTTTCTGGTGCTTATAGAATGACAGGTTTCAAAACTAATGCCCAATGCTCTCTTGTTAATACTAATAACAAGTTAACAAAGCTAATGAACACTTACTATGTGCCAGATATTGTACCAAATAGTCATAGACAAGTGGGCAAACCATGGCCCATGGACCAAGTCTAATCCACTGCTGCTTTTTGTGCAGCCATCATGCTCAGAATTGTTTTGACATATTTTTAAAAATTTAGAAGAAGAATATTTTATGACTCATAAAACTTATGTGAAAATCAAATCACAATGTTCATAAGTAAAGTTTTATTAGAATACTGTTATGTTCATTCATCCACTCAATGAACTGTGTTCATCTCTATTTATTATTTATGGCTGCTTGTGGGCTATGAGGGCAGGGTTAAGCAGTCGTAAGAGAAATCATATGACCCAGGAAGCCTAAAATATTTACTATCTGGACCTTTAGAGAAAAAGTTTGCCAATCCCATTTATGTACAGCACCTTGTTATTACAAATGCCTTCCAAAGTAAGGACTACGATTATCACCATTGCCGCAGGTGGAGAGGAAATGGAGGCTGGAGGAATCACTGAGCCTTAAGTATTTTGCTTAATTTCCTCCTTGAAAAGTCTCTTTTAATGAGACGATTTTAAAAGGAAGCACTTCCTTAGGTGCTAGGGAGTAGTGAAAAGTGGCTAGACAAAGTCAAAATCCAGAAGAATTCCAGTCTACAGTGAAAGTCCTTTGTAACCACAGTTAATGTAAATCTTTACAGCCATAAACACCTTTTGATTTATTTAGCAAACCCATACATAGAACTTAGTAGGTGCTATTCTCAGTACTGGGCAAATATTAACTCATTTCATTCTCTCAGCAACTCTGTAAAATAAATCCTGTTACTACCTCCATGTTACAGACGGGGAAACAGGGGCACACAGGTGATGGTAGGTAACTAGCAGTTATATAACTAGTCAGTGGAGAAACAGAATTTGCACCTGGTTGAATTTGGTTGGAATGCCATTGCTCTGCACCAATGTGTTCTGCGGTTTCTCCTCTCAACCTATCATTTGATTATTACAGCAATCCTGGGAGCAGAAGGATGCCCATTATTCCCACTTAACAGATATGTTAACTGAGGACCTATGAGGTAAATGACTGCAAAGCCATCCCCTGCTTACTTCACTCCACACCACTTTCTTCTTGTTTTTTGCCTTCAAGCCACTCTGACTTTATTTCAGTTTATTGCACATGAGATTCCTTTTGCCGGCCACACTCCCTTCCACTTTTCACGTGCCTAGTTCCTTTTCATCTCTCATTCTAGATGGTCTTACCAAAAAACAGGTCCTGCTTTCTTAACAAACAGATTTTCACATAACAGTGTCTGTTTCTCTCACCTGCAAAAGTATGTGTTAAAGACTGTTAGGCAGCTACACAGTCACAAAGGATCAGGCTCCTTCTTCAACATGGCTTCTGTCTTGAAGTCCAGAAATGTTGCTCTAGCTCCCACCATCACATCTGACATCCAACCACTTAGTATGAAGAAAAGAAAGTAGAACAATCCCCCACTTTTACTCATATCTTATTGGCTAAGGTTTAGTCAGATGACCACACCTATCTGCAAAGGAGTATGAAAGATCTAATCTTTTTTTTTTTTTTTTTTGCCTTTATGTCAGCTAAAAAGTAGAGTTCTGGTGGTGAATGAGAAAGGGAGGATGGGCATGAAATGGCAACTGTCATAGAACCTTGTATTTTTCCTTTATCACACTTCTCCAATTTGTAATTAGATCTTTATTTGTGTGGTTATTACTCAATGTCTTTCTCTCTCACTAGATCAAAACTGTGACCTGCTGATCCATTTCTGCTGTGTCCCCAGCACTTGTCACAGAGCCTGACACATTGCAGCTGATCAGTATTTTTTAAATGGCTGCTATATTAATCAGAGTTTTCCAGAGAGACATAACCAATAGGATGGATAGATGGATGGATGGATACATAGGTAGATAGATAGATAGATTAGACAGGCAGATAAATGATATATTACATAGATAAATGAATAGATAGATAGATGAACAGATAGATGAATAGATAGAGGGATGAAGGGATATATAGATGAATAGATAGATAATTAGATGCATAGATTAGACAGACAGACACATAGGCAGACAGATAGATGATAGATAGATAGACAGACAGACAGATAGATAGATTAGACAGATAGATATGGCTATAGAGATGGAACAAGAGCTAGAGATATATAGACATGTGAGAGGGGATTTATTAGAGGAATTGGCTCACATGATTACGAAGGCTGAGAAGACTCATCATAGGTCATCTGGAGAATGAGGAAGCCAGTGCCAGCTTCAGAATCCAAAGGCCAGAGAACCTGAAGCTCTGATGTCCAAGGACAGGAGTAGAAGGCTAGCCCAACTCCAGAAGAGAGAGAGCATTCACCTTTCCTCTGCTTTTTTGTTCTGTCCAGGCCCCCAGCTCATTAGATGGTGCCCACTCACATAGGATGAGGGTGGATTTTTCTTATTCAGTCCGCTGATTCAAATGCCAGTCTCTTCTAGAAACACCCCGCAGACACACCCAGAAATAATGCTTTACCAGCTATCTGGGTATACCTTAATCCAGTCAAATTAAGACCTAAAATTAACGATCACAGATGCCAAGCAGAGTCAAGATGCCAAACACTTATCCTGTTTCCCCAGTTTTAAGCCAAGGCATAAGCAAAGATTACCCTATCCTTGTCAAGCCACAAGGTAAGAGAATTCCAGGCAGAGCATAAAGGTGAACACTTCTTTCCTGAATCCCTGAGTAAAGTTGTTTTATCTGGTCAGTAATTGCCCACTTTCTGGGAAAGACATCCAATAAGAATGTGACCTGCCTTTATAGGTCCACAGCAGTGGCCTAACTTGGTAGCAATGGAACTGGTTTCCTGTGTGTAACCCTCTGCCCAAGTCATGCTTCACAGTTTTATTTCATGATTGCCAGACAATAGAGCATGTAACCATAAGTCCATTATATGAGCACAATTAGCACCAATCCTCCTACTTTTGAGTGAGATCTCTGCTAGCCAAGGTCATTTTTCTAGCTTTCTCATAGAGAAATGCCTTTTAGAGCCACATATAATTTTCATTTTGCAGAATGTTAATTAGAGGCATTTGTCAACTGTCTTCTATGTACCTGGAATGTCTAGTTCTTGGAACATACATGATCTCAGAGCCCTCAACAGCTATGAGAGATTGCCAGGGTAGCCAGTGGAAGAAACAAGGTTGTCTTTTCACCAAATAATTTCTTTATTTCTTTTGGGCTCTTAGAAAGGGTAGATTTTAAAGATATTATTTTTGATGGAGGAATTCCTTTTGATGAAGGATGGAGGTGTGTGTGACAAGATCTGGTCAGTGGAATGTGGGTAGAAATAACATATGCTACGTGCAGACCTGGCTTTTTTTTCTCTGTCTTTCCCCCCATGGCATAGAAGCCATGGGTAAAGATGGTCAGGCTGTAACATGGAAGAAGCCTATACCCCTTGTATGTACATACATACCTCCCTGGGTCTCTATGCATGAGACATCTCAAATGCACCTCTTCAGATTCTCAAGGTCTCACTTGGACATATATGTCTTATGGCCTATTTTATGATTTTTTTTTTGAGTCTGTAGGACCACACAGCCACCTTTCCTCAGGGCAGACAATGCAACAAGGCATCCTTATGCCCACTCTTCCTATACCTGCTACTTTCTCCTTGCTTTCACTCTTGTTACCTAAAACCATGCTTCCTAACAAAGCACTTCCACATAAACCTTTTCCTCTTCTTACTGTGGGACTCAGTTTAAGATAGACTACTGGGTAGAAAGCTGTCTGGTAGAGCCACCCAACCAGGAACTGAATTTTATGTGAGTGAGAAATTAATTCTGATTGTATTAAGCTATTGAAATTTGGGGTTTGTTACCCTAATAGATTACTCCATTTTACAGATAAGAAAGCTGAGTTTAAGGAATTGAAATAATTTTTGCATAGTCACACAGTTATGCTAGAGCAGGGAGTTCAAATCAAGGTCTGCTAACTCACAGTGATTTGTGGGAAATCACAATTTTCATAACCCATTTACAAAATGGTAACCTTTCGGAGGATGACTTCTTCATCTTTCTATCTCCCTCCCTCCAACTCTCTCTCATCCAAAAGTTCATGCATGATTTGCTTAGCCGAGCTGAGTCCAGAAGGTACTTGTATAGGCAAACTTCCCCTTTCCATCCATAAATGTCCATTGGAATACTTGGCTGTTTTTTAAAAAATAGGTTGGGTAGAGAGAAAGACTTTATTTGAGGACTATAGAAATAGGTGAGTGCGACTTTGAAGAGGTCTTAGGTCCTAATTTACAGATTAGGATTGTTCAGTCAAACAATCATTATGTATTATATGCTAAAAATATTTTTTATTTGACACATTCAGAAAAATAGGAAAAATAAAAAAACTAATCTATAATATCAGAAGTTAAAAGAATTATTCATGTGAGAAGGAAAGAATTGCCTCTCCACTCCTTACAAACTCCAGCATTATAAGATTCACTTTCCAAAGAAGAGCGTTGTTAAAAGCATGGGGTAAACTTATTTCTCAATCAATCAATCAATCAATCTACCTATCTATTTCCTATTCACCCATTTATTTATCTATATATTCACATATACAATTTTGAGCAAGTTGTGCATCTACGTGCACTCTGAAACAATAATTGGATGTTACTCAAAATGGCTAAATATTCTTTTCTTAATTCCATATCATTAAAATGTTTCAATTACCATATATTCATTAATGCTTTCAACAGATATTTAGTGATCACTGTCTATGTGCCTGGTGTTTTCTTAGTGGTGAACAAGACAAAGTTTCTACTCTAGTGAACCATATAATAAAAATGTATATTACGATGCAATGTTTCATTATATAGATGTACCAGATTTTACTTAACCAATTCCCCAAAGATGGGCATTTTAAATTGTTTCAATTTTATTTGTTGTTACAAAAAAATACCATAATAAAAACACTTGCATATTTATCTTTACATAGTCATGCTATTATTTTTGTAGAGTAGAATCCCAGAAATAGAATTACGAGGTCTATTTCTGTAAGATTTTAATAGATACTGCTGAATTACCTCCACAATATTGTACCAATGTTTTAATACAGTATGAATTTGCTCTCCTCTCCCTCCTCTTTCCTGCACTTAATGTCATCAATGTTGGTTTTTGGTTTTTGGCCCATCTGTGTGGTGAAAATAATATCATAGTGTTTTGTACCTTTCTTTAATGTTAGTGAAACTGAGCACCATTTGACATGTTTGTTGCTAGAGGTGTTTCTTCTAAAGGTGGCTGCCAATAGCATCTGTCCCTGTGTCTATTTATTTATTCTTTCTTATGAAGAAATACCGAACTCCTACCATTGTGAACATCACAGGTATATTCCCTCATGGAGCTTCCAATCTAGTTGGGAAGACAGACTTTGACCAACGGTAAAATGACCCAGGACACATCCTATGAACATGTGGTGTCAGGTTCTATGGGAGCACATAACAGTCTTGGGTGAAAGTGAGCAGGAAAGCCTTCTTGGTAAGGAGGATGCTTCATAGTAGGAGGAATTGGCCATGTGGAGGCAGAGAGGGGAATTAAATTCCAGGATGAAGAAGCACTAAGCAGGAAGGCAATTCAGAATCTCCGGATTGGCTTTGTTACTTTACATATTTATGTAAATGTAATTGCTTGTATATACAGACTGATGAGAAACAGGTGACATTAGGATTATAATAACAATTGTTAATTAATAGTAATAGTAACTAACTTTTTAAAATATTTAGTTTGTTCTAGATAATCTTATGAGCAATTTACATGTATTATCTCATGTAATCCCTTCTCCATACCTTGTTCTAGCTGCTCTTTTACTAGTCTCATTTAACTGATCAGAAAATTGAGGCACAGCCAGGAAGTAGTGGGGCCTATTCTTTGTACTTGCATAGCAAGCGTAGAAAATTTCTATTTATGCTATATTCCCCTTGGTGTCCACTTTAAAACCTGGGCCTTCATTATTATTCAATCACATAATTGCTGTGCAGTGTCGAAACCATTACTCTGATCTGTAGAAGAATCTAAATGATTCTTCTAAATTAACTATAACGATACTTAACATTGATAGGTGACTTTCTGCATTGGTCAGGGGAAGTTGAGTAATACTTCGGTTGAAAAAAAAAGCTTCTAACAACAAAGCGTTAATTTATTTCTCACTCATGTTACATCTTGACTGGGCCGGGAGCTCTGTTCCATGTCTCCTTTCCCCTGGACTCCATGTCTCCTTGCTCCAACATGGCACACCTGTCTACAATCTCTGTGGCAGGGGAAGGGGCCACTTGCTTCCATTCAGCATTAGCCAAGGCAAGTCACATGATCATAGCTGAGCAGAGAACTGCAGTCCTGTCCTGGGCAGGGAAGAAGAGGAACAGGACCTTTTATGAACTATTCTAATCCATGTGCCAGTTTCTGTTCTACCTGCTTTACTGTAACAACTCACTTACTTGCCAACAACCCTATGTAGTAACTATGATTGCTATCCCCATTTTAAAGATGAAGTATCTGCACTTCTATGTTCTCTGAAGCCCTATTTACAAGAGCCAAGATATGGAATCAATCTAAGTGCCATGAGTGGATGAAAGGATAAAGAAAATGTTACATATAAACACAATGGAATACTATTCAGCCATAAAAAAGAATGGACTCCTGTCATTTGCAGCAACATGGATAAAATTAGAAGTCATTGTGTTAAGTGAAATAAGAAAGACAATTGTTGCATGTTTTCATTTGTATGTGGGAGCTAAAAAAGTGGATCTCACAGTGGTAGAGAGTAGAGTGTGGGTTATCAGAGGCAGAGAAGGGTAGTTTGGAGGGTGGATGAGAATTGGTTAACAAATACAAACATACAGTTAAATAGAAGGAATAGTTCTAGTATTATAGTATTAATATTCCATATATTACTGATATAATGTTGCATATCTAGTATTCTATAGAATAGTAATTGTAGTTAATAATAATTTATTGCATATTTCAAAATAGCTGGAAGTGAAAAATTGTACTGTTTCCACACAAACCAATGTTAAATGTTTGAGGTAATGAATATCCCGATTACCCTGATTTGATCATTCTGCATTGTATACAGGTATCAAAATATCACAGGTACCCTCAAAATATGTACGATATTACATATCATTTTTTAAGATGACAAAATAGAGGGAAAGAAAGATTATTAAGTCACTTGCCCAGGATCACTTGGCTAGAAAGTGGTAGATCAGCTTTCTACTGAAGCAGCAGTCTCCAGAAGCCGTACTCTGAAATCACTGACTGTATTTACCTTACAGGGTTATTGTGAGAATAATAGATTAGACGGAACTTGGAAAGTGTAACTTACCATAAGGGAGCATTAGCACTATTGTTGTTGCCGTCAGTGATCCCTCAGTGCGCTGGTCTGAGGAAGTCCTCAGGTGAGGAGATTGATTTGACTCAGGCTCTTCAGTGGCCACCTCCCTCCCCTACTCTGCCAGAAAGACACAGGTTTTTGAAAAGGTGCCTTTTGCCGTGAATGATTCCCACACAAACAATCCTTTTCCAGTCTAGGTCCCATTAACCTAAACATTGTAGGCAAGTGCAGTGATTAGAATGAATCAACATCAGGCTCCGAAAGGCTGGCTCTGTGAATAAGTCATGTAGCACAATGTAAAGTGGGATAACATGTTGTAAATTAATGTTGTTAAAATGAATACTTGATAGCAATCCCAAGGAAGGCTATTTACCATCGCACTTGAAGAGACAGGAGCCGTGTGGAAGCCAAAGCAATTTGCATTGTGCAGAAACACTCAGGTTTGCCACTGCTGATGAATTATCAAACACTTCGGCTTCTTTCCATGTGCAATACTGTTTAATGTTTACCTAAAAAACAATGGGGCAGGAATGTGCTCTGTGTGCCTTGGGAATGACAAGAGACAGAGGTCAGTTGGATTCACAAAACCAAACAAAAGAAATCTATTTTAGTAGCCACCACCTTCTATGGGCTATCACACCTGGCTTTCATTCTCTCTTGAATTTTGGATGGACCATTCCATCCTGGAGTTGAGTGAACAGAGGCACTGTCAAGACATCAGCAGTCACCTGTTCTTTCCGTCCAAGCTTACTTTCCTGCTCTGGGTCCTCTGACGTTCCCCCTCCATTTTTTTAGGTGTTGGGATTTTTATGTGCACAATCGAGAGCTGATGAATGTGCAAGTCTTGGGCAAAAATCATCTTTGTCTCCTTTTACAATTTTTCACCCTAGGATCCTCAAGCTTACGTTGAATACTTTGAGTGCCACATAGAAAATGACACCCACTGTTTTTGACCTCCTCTTTTTCACCAAAAGTCAACATCCCCCTGTACAATAGCTTCAGAGTTCTGCTGCTTATGGGCATGATTTATTTACATGATAGGCCCATTTATCTTAGAATTCAACCATAAAGGAGACAACCGAAAGAAGGAGGAGAAGAAAAAAATTAAAGAGTCCTGGTGAGTTCACCCACAGTTCCATTCCATGTGGGTGAAAAGGGGAATAGGAACTTAGTTTCCACTGGGCATGGCACTTGCCTCCAAGCTAACTACTTGTCAGGAACCAGAACCAAGAATCCACAATCATTCCAGTGTTAGAAGGAAAACTTGATGTGTTGCACGCATTGAGCTTCTTCCTATGGGATTCTGAAAACCACAACTTGCTTTATATTTTAAGAGTTAGAAACTATACCCCACTGTAATGGTAGAATCCAATGATAAGTTAACATAATTTAAGCCCATTATTTTAAACTTAACTTTTAGCAGATTTTCTACCGTCTGGGAGTTGTTGCAGAAAGAACAAATGATTTCTCTTCCTGGCACTCCTTCTTCCTCCCTACCACCACTAAAAAGCAAATTCATGTGATACAGAATTGGGCAGCTCATTGTTTGATTTTTATTTCATGGAGACTAGGGTTTCTCAAACTTGAGTTATATAGAGACCCTTTTGAGAGGAAAAGAATTATCATGGATCTCAATGAGGATATAAAAGAGTTATTAAAATATTAATAAATGAACATAAATTCGGATAGAAACTCTTTGTGACTAAAACAATAAGTTTTAGTCAATTATGAAACCAAAACAAATTAGATACAAGCATCATTGCACATCTAATAAAATTCAAATGAACAATATTAAATAAAATGATGGATCATGTTGTCTGGCTGAAATGGAATCTTCTCTTTAAACATGACTGTTGCACCTTGGGCTTTGGTGCAAGTTCTCTTGGGGTAGGAGATCTAGGCCATCGTGTACGAACAATGCTCTCATCTCTCTTCTCTAGTTCTCATCACTTGGCATGAATTAATCATTTCCTATGAGTTTTTGCACTGGATCATTCTCTGTTCATTTCTGCAGAGAACATAAGTAGTAGTATTAGGAGCCCGCAGGAAGGCAAAATCATAAAAGCAAAGTCTTTTCTGAAATCACATGGCTGAACTCAACGAGAAAGTGGTCATGCAAATGATCCATAACATGCTCCTATTGATTTCCTCTTGCTTGTCTCTGACATTTCATGTGACAATGAAAATTTATTTTGGAGAGAATGTGTGTGGACCCTCAGGGGCTGAGGACTCTAGTTTGGGTGCAGTGTTCTAGATGTATTCTCTTAATGACCTTCTTATTTCCCCACCAGTCATCTTCCTTTGTCCCATGCACTATCAGAGCATGGTCAGTTTAAAGGATAGAGTTGGACAATCAGGAGACCTCAGCTCTGGTTCTAGTTGAAGCCTTACCTACTCTCTGACTGCAGTAAAGCCTCCTATTAGGTCTCTACCTGTCCAAGAAAAGCCACCATCATCTCTTGCTCCAATTGAAATGGCCTCCCAACTCACCAACCTGCTTCCATGCTTGGCCCCCTCTCCCATCCATTTCTCACCCTAGATCAGAGGGCGATCTTCTTAAATTGTGCATTAATCATGTAACTTTCCTGTTTTACACCTCTCCACTGAAGTTCCAATTTTATTTACAATAAAGTCCATGACCTAACATGTATGTCCATTTGTCACCCCCCCATTTTCACCCTACAGCAGAAAGTAATCTTAAATTATAAATTAGACATGTCACTTCCTCATTTAATACCCTTCCATTGAGGTTCCAGTTCTACTTACACCGAAATCTATGACCTACCAAGCTGTATGGAATCCAGTCCCACCTACCTCTCCAGCTCTGTCCCCCACCTCACTTCTTCACATTCGCCATGCCCAGCCCGAGTTTCATTTCAGTTCTTTAAATTGCCCAGCTCTCCTTTGAATGAGATTTTTGAATGGGCTTGTTGCTCTCCCTGAAACACTCTCTATCTCTACCAGTCAACTCCTCTTTTCCTGGTTTCTGATAATCTTTTAGAGCGTGTCTTAAATCCTACCTTTTCAGATCAGGCCTCTCTGATTACCCTACCTTGGTTAAATTTACCCCCAAATCTTGTTCTTTGGATCCACTTTTGTTGAACTCCATCAACAGTTTAGCTGTGTGATGTGAGCATCATTTCCTCTTTGGGTCTGTCCTCCTCCACTAGAACATCAGCTCCTTGAGGGCAGCAACATTGTCTGCTCTTTTATCACGGTATCCCCTGACACCTAGGACAGTGCAGGCATGGAGTCTATATATTGAATTATTGAATTAGTGTTGATGAAGGAATGACAGCCCTCTTTCCACTGGCTCATTTTCTGAACTTTATTTTCCTTAGCTATAAAGTGGAGCTAAAATCATCTGCTTTACTTGACCTTATTTATTTAATACAGAAAAGCTGGTTTTGTAGTTGGGCCCCATGCTTGGTACCAGGTATATAGAGTGTACTGAAAAAAGTTCAAGGGGTCTCAAAGAGAGTCAAGTGCTGGAGATTTGGTATCAATAGCCAGGCAGAACGTGCGGGGAGTCAGGCTGACTGCCTGAGAGCTCCACCCCTTGGGCACTAATAGTCCAAAGCCCCAGGAGCCTTTCTCTCCTGCCAGGGCTGGTCTGGGGGGCACTCATTTTACATGTATTCACTGAAGGATCATGTCAGGTACTTAGCAGCTCTAAGTCTTTCCACCATCTTTGCACTTCATCTTTTATGTAACATAGCTTCTTTCTACTTTTATTCTGGAGATCCTGATGGAGTGAGTTTTGCTTGATTCATCAGTGCATTGATTAGGGGCACACATGATGAGCACCTTCTATGTATCAAGCACTAGGATTGTGAATTTTGCTTCTGCTACCACTGAGACAACGCAGCGCTGGCCCTAACGTTGGGGCTTGATGTTCTAGTTGCTTTTCTGAAGTCCACCTTCCCTATAGAACTCCGTGGTATCATAGCCGTGTGGTGAGCTGGAGCGGAATTTAGGAACTCAGGCTTCTTACCTCATTCTACAGCAATAGTGTGACATTGGGTGGGTTTCTTAACCTCTCTAAATCAAGGATTTCCTAACATGTAAAACAAGGCTATAAATTCCCACTCCACCCACTTCTTTGAGCTCTTTTCAGACTTGAGATAATGAGCATGAGGGAGCTTAAAAGAAGCATAGAGCAAAATGAAAATATAATTAACTCAGTGATTGTAAAATGCCAAAAGAGGTAAAGATAAGGAAACTAATGCTGATTACATATTTACCCTGTGCTTGAGGCTTTGCTAGATGCTTCATGTGTGATACTCTGTCACAAAAAGTCATTTTTCCTGGAGAGGAAACTGGGACCAAGAATGCCAGGTCACTTCTTCAAGACTGTTCAGCCAATAAGCAATGAGCTTGGCTCTCCCACCAGATCTGGGTGACTTTTAAGGCCAATATGCCCACTGACAATGGAACATTGTGTGTCATTGTAGAGGGTTGTTCAGCCTCTACCTAAATGCTTCCATATGGGTGTGGTCTGGTTTCCTTGGGGTCCTTACGCTGGGGACAGATAGGATGGACCTAAGATCAGAATATCTCTCTATTGGTAATGTTAGATCTTTTGTCCTCCCTCCATCCAACTGGAAGTGCCCTCTAGACATCATGAGTTTGCTGGCAATCTGGGGAAGGTCTTAAAAAATCTCTTTCTTGGCCAAGTATAATGCCTCAAGCCTATAATCCCAGCACTTTGGGAGGCTGAGGAGGGAGATCATCTGAGGTCAGAAGTTTGAAACCAATCTGACGAACATGGCAAAATTCATCTTTACTAAAAATACAAAATTAGCCGGGTGTAGTGGCGCATTCCTGTAATCTCAGCTACTCAGGAGCCTAAGGCAGGAAAATCACTCGAACCTGAGAGGAAGAGATTGCAGAGAGCCAAGATCATGCCACTGCACTCCAGCTTGGGCAATAAGAACAAAACTTTCTTCTCAAAAAGGTCCCTGTTTACTTTCAGACAACCTAAGTTGCCCCAGGTTCTGGTGGTAGGCCATCAGCTTCACAATTCCAGAAATGCCTCCTAGTCTGCTGAAAGTTCCAGCCCGTTGACAACTGCTTTCTGAATTCTGAGGACAGCTCTCTATCCAGTAGGTAACAGAATAACAGGGTAGAGGCTGCATCAAGAGAGATGAAGCCTGAAGCAATTTGGTAGCAGCTAACACCCCAAATACCCTGAGTTTCATCTGTATTCATTCCCCCCAGTGCTGTGGACAGCTCCTCTGGACTCCAGTTTATCTCAGCCTCAAAGCTAATAGAGTTAAACCAGCTGGTCAATTTAAACAGGAGCCGAAGCAATGAGATGTTACTGTATTCTGAGATGGTGTTAATAAACTTTAATAGATTTCAGCTAACAATTTGGTATAAATTAGACATTGCACTGCTGCTGAGGTAATAACTTTTGGCATTAAATAACAGAAAATCAAGCTCTGTGATGTGCTTCAAAAGCACCTTCATCAAGCCTCCGAGATTCAGGCAGATTTCACTATCGATCACTGCTTACTCTTCCCCAAGCGTTAAGGAAACAGCAAACTGCTCCAAAATACACCCCCTCAAAGGGGCCCAGATTTTTTCTCCCACCTGCTCAGCAACTCATTTACATTACAGAACCATTGGGCTTGAAATGGGTTCAAGGTGGCTGAAAGACTTCTAAGGATGAGTCAGGAGCCAAGATGTTAGACAATTCCCTTGAGAGCTCCCAAGCACTTGTTCATATTTTTCTGGATCCTTCCAAAATTTCACCAGCTGAATAAAGTCATTCCCATTAGATTGTTTAACAATGGTTCCAACGTAAGCTCTGTGATGAGCATGGGTTAGGTACTAGAGTCAATGGAGTCTGTGGCAAGAGGCCTGACATGGCATTAGGAGAACTTGCTCAGGTGTTGGCTATGGCACTAATGATCTACATGACCTTAGGCAAGTGATTTAACTTCCCTGAACCAGAGTTCCCTCACTCCTTGCCCTGAAAGGACATGAGGAGGGAGGAAGTTTGAGAATCCCTGTGAAAGTGTGTTGTAGGCTGGGAAGTGCTATCCAAACATATGTTGTGAGATTCAATAGGCTGTGGGCCATTTAGGTGGTCTAGGGCATGCTGGGGTTCTGAAGTTCTGTGACATCAACATGAGTCTCAGAAACAGCCAGAATGTTGGCCTGCAGATGCATTGGCCACACCCTTACGGCCTCCTGACACCTACCCTACTCTCCCCCTCTACTCACACTCTTTGAACTGTGCTCAGGGGCAGCGCTACAACTTCCACATTGGTCTTCACAGGGGTTAAGTGATGTTTTCAGGAACAGAACCCTGTGTGGAGGTTATTATTGAAAGCTTTACCGTATTTCACTGAATATAAGACATATTTTTTTGTTGTTATTTAACATCTCTAAGGTTGGGTTATGTTTCTTCATCATTGTCAGTTGGAGTTTAATTAGCAGCATCTTTTTTTCCCCTTAATGTCACACGCAGTAATGGTGCTGCATCTCACAATCGAGATCATCTTAGACGTGATGGAATATGGAATTATATGCCTGTTACAAGCAAGGCTGGAGACTGTGGAACCCAAGACAGCACCATCCTCTAGTGGTATTTACATCCCACCACAGTGGAATCGGGTGAGTCAAACTGGAGCAAGTTGGCAAGAGAATTTCATACAGTATTGGATTTTGGAACAACACAACAGGAAAAAATGATAAAGAGGATCTAGAGTTTTAAGCTAGATGGGGGCCTGTCAGGGGAGGTGAAATCTGCACAGGAAGCTGAAGGCTAAAAGGAAGTTTACTTGGTAAGATCTAGGACCAAGAGCTTTCCAGTGTGAGGGAACAGCCAGGTGGTCTCTACAACGGGAATTATGTTAGCAGAATGTTACTGGTAGAGTCCTTGTGTTGTGTAATTCTCTAAATATGTGCAAATGAGAATAGTCACAGATTTTCCCAAAGATCTTGTGCCTCTTTCTTTCCATGATTTTTTTTTTAAAAATCAAGCCCCCAATTTACCTTCATCAAGGACTTTCTTAGTTGCCTAGGGCTGCTGCAGTAAATTACCACAAACTCAAGTGGCTTAAAACAAGAGAAATTCATTTCATCACAGTTCTAGAGGCTACCAGTCTGAAATCAACATGTCTGTAGGGCCATACTCTCTCTGAAGGATGTAGGGGAAAATGTGTTATATGCTTTCTCATAGTTTTTGGTGTTAGCTGGAAATCCTTGTTATTCCTTGGCTTGGAGCAGACACATTGCTCCAATCTCTGCCTCGGTAATCACAGGGTTTTCTCCCCATGAGTGTCTCTTTTCCTCTTGTTACAAATACAACACCTTGTTGGATTGGGACCCACTGTCATTCAGTATGACCTCATCTTCATTTCATTATATCTGCAAAGACTGTATAACAGCATAGTCACAGGTATCAGGGATTAGGACTTCAATGTATCTTTTTGGAGGACACAATTCCACTCATAACAGCTATCCTAATGGTATGTCTCAAAAAGAGGTCTTAATGGAGGTCTGATGTCTTTGATAACATGACACCCAAACCATCTCACCACCAACCAGGTCTCCCACATTTTGTCTACTGAGAGGAAAAGTCATGAGCCCATCTTCAGGGTTTAGGATCCAAATCTGGTTTCCTTGTGAGCATTTTCTTTTCTCTCTATTGGCGTAGGTTATTTTGGTGGTATGGTAAAAGGTTTATTTTGGTGGAAGACAGTCATCATCATAAACCTCCCTAAAAGTAATCATTGATTGCAACAATTAATGACACTATTTTTGGAGTACATGGGTGGCCGCCATAGCCAAGTGAAAAATGTTTAACAACTTGGTAGCCAGTCATCATCAGGAGTATTAATATTAAACAAGTTGTTCATTCCTCTGTCTATCCCTTTTACTATCTAATACCACCTTTGAAATTTGTCATAAAATAATAGCTGGTATTTACTGAGTGCTTATTATGTGTTAGGTATTATGTCACATGGTTTAAATGTATTGTGAACCCATTTAATTATTGCAGTAAAGGTGTTATTATTCCCCTCACTTTAAGTTGGGAGGAACAAACGTTAGAAAAGCTTACGTGCCTTGCATACTGTCACTAAGTATGAAGTGATGGAAATGAGATTCAAATTTAATAGGTCTGCCTCAAAAGCCCATAGGTGTAACCACTCTGTCTACTGCTCTTCAACAGGGCAGCCCCTTCATTTTATGCCAGACAAGGGAAATGATGTTCTCAAGGTCACACAACTGAAAGATACCAGAATTGATCAAAGGACCCAGATTATTCTGATTCCCAGGCCAGATGCTTGCTCTGCTACCCCTTGCTTTCTCAAGGCTGTGTCAATATTCACAGCTTTGTGAAATTTCCCCCAAGAGCAAGCCTAAGATAGTCCATTGAAACGTCTTCCAGCAGAGGCTGGAGCTCTGACAGTACCGCCCTGTTCAGTGGACATCAGCCCCTGTGAAATCCAGATGTTGCTCAGGAATGTCATGGTCATTGTGGGCAAAGCAATGCCCCTTGCTTGATGTAACGTGTTTTCTGGACCTCTATCACTGCTACAGAGCTAAGTCTGCTTTATCTCAGCTCACTACTGGCTGAAGCACAGTGGGCTCACTCTTCTGAAATGGAACTAGATTCTAAATCTGACCAGTTTCACCTTTCAAAGCTATCGGTTGCCTAAAATGCTGCCTCACAAAAGATTCTGAGACCAGGTACATTGGTCTCTCTTTGGGGAGGGGAACAGGATGGTTTGAAATCAGGGGTGGGAGGGAGAGTTCTCAAGTATATCTCTTTTTTGTATTTTTTTGAATTTTGTACCCTGTGAATATATGGGCTATTGAAAAGAAGGTCTGAAGTATGACCTTGTGTTGGTGAGAAAATACTAAATACATTGTAACCAATTAGCAGTGTCTCCTGTGAGTGGGGACAAAGCAGTGTCAGTAAATGGGCTGACATCTGTTACCTCTGGATACTTGTCATGAGATTCATAATTTATACCTCATGAGGATAAAGCTTCTTAGTTCCCGGGGAGAAGAGCACAGGGCCGTTGTCAATGTTTTACACATTTTCAGTTCTTTTTCAAAGCTCATCATAGCTACGTGAGTGTCACAAAATGGATTTTCACAACTTCTCAGCTGTGAGAGGGAGCAATAGCGACAGACCCCTGGGGATCTATTTCATGTCTAACCTCACTCCCTCTTGCTGCCTGCATAGAAAGTAAGGGGTGGCTTTTTTTGTTTCCCCCCAGGGGCGTCCCTAACCTCATGCTCCCTGGTGTCACCCCTTCCTCCTTCTGCAGGAACTGCATAGCTCTTCCTCAGATTCCTCCTGCTACTCAGGCTGCAGCCTCAGCATGGGTATCAGGAGGAATTGGAAGAGGTGCACAGGTGTGAAGACTCAAGAGAATCTTGTTTGGACCAGGTGCTGTGGCTCACGGCTGT